CAATTCTTGGCCAATCCACCCTTTCCATGACTGTTCTCTCACTCAAAGGCCTTCTATAAATCGATTTGAAGTGGTCTACAAATTTTCTGGCTATGTCATCCTGGTTGGTAATCACCTCCTCTTCTATCTCTACCTATTACTCTTTTATTGCCTCTGTTTCTACCCATGTGATTCCCAGGTCTGTACCAAAAGCCTTGTCCAAACCTGAATGGAGGGATACTATGATGACCGAATTTGATGCTTTGCATAAGAGCCCTACTTGGGATATTGTGGATTTGCCTAAAGGGAAGGAACCAATATGTTGTAAATGGGTGTTCACCATTTAGTATCATTTTGATGACACTTTTGGGAGGTTTAAGGCTTGATTGGTTGCTAAATGCTACACTCAGATGTATGGTATTGACTACCTTGAGACCCTTGCTCCTGTGGCCAAAATGACTTCAGTTTGAGTTTTGTTGTCTCTACCTACTACTTTTGATTGACCCCTTCACCAGTTTGATGTTAAAAATGCCTTTTTGAATGAATACCTCCATGAAGAGGTCTATATGTCTTTGCCTCCAGGGGTGTATGCAAAGGAAATGCAAGGGAAGGTGTGTAAATTACAGAAATCTATTTATGGTCTCGATTAGTCTCCTCAAGCCTGGTTTGAGAGATTCAGAGCTGCTCTTGTATCCTTTGGTTACACACAAACCCAATCTGACCATACTTTGTTTCTGAAAAGAAGTAACTATTTGGTGACTTTTTTGATTGTTTATGTTGATGACATTGTGGTCACGGGTAATGACACCCATGAAATGATTAAGCTCAAAAGATTTCTTAACTCTGAATTTGAAATCAAGGATTTGGGGGATCTTTGATTTTTCTTGGGAATTGAAGTTGCTAGATCCAAGGATGGTATCTTCATTTCTCAATGCAAGTATGTTCTTGACCTCCTTGCAGAGACTAGTAAACTTGGTCCTAAACCAGCTTCCACCCCTATAGATCCCAATCATAAGTTCTCTGCCACTAATGGTGAATTGTTGCCTGATAGTGGAGTGTTTCAGAGATTGCTCCGGAAGTTGTTATATCTCTGCATGACTTGACCAAATATTTCCTATGCAGTGAGTGCTATTAATCAGTTTATGCATTCTCTCAGAGACACACATTTAGTTGCTGTAGAAAGAGTTTTGTGTTATTTGAAAGGCAATCCAGGGAAAGGTATATTGTTTGCCAAACATGGTCACATGAAGTTGGAAGCATACACTAATGCTGATTGGGCTGGATGTATTGATGATAGGAGATCCACCTTAGGATATTTTGCTTTACAGGGAACATTGTCCAATGGAGGAGTAAGAAACAGTCTATAGTAGCCAGATCCTTAGTTGAAGTAGAATACGGGGTAATGACACATGGACTATCGGAATTACTGTGGCTAAGATCACTTCTGGAAGAGTTGGGTCTTGAATATGAAAAGCCAATGATGCTCTAATGTGACAACCAGGCTGCTATCAACATTGCACGTGATCCTGTTCAACATGGCTGAACTAAGCACATAGAGGTTGATAGACATTTTATACGGGAAAGAGTTGGTTTAGGAGAGGTTTGCTTTCCATTTATTTCTTCAGAAGAGCAGTTGGTTGATGTAATGATCAAAGGTGTTCCAAAAGGGAAGCTAACACACTATATAAGCAAGTTGGGCATGATTGACATCTATGCTCAACTTGAGGGGGAGTGTAGAGAGATTGGGCCGAATCGGCCCTAGTGTCTATTTTATGTTTTAGTAGTAAGTTATTTATTTTGTATGCTAATGGGCCTGTCTTATGGGCCTGTTAACTTCTTTTGAAGTTATTTTAAGTTTATGCTTAGTTGGACGCCCCACTTAAGGGCTGATTTATAATTAACCACATTAGTGAAGATTAATAAAAGGATTAGTGAGGGGAGAGAGGTGATTATTGTTGTGTAATTTATGCACAGTTAATTGAGGCAAGTGTACCTTAGTCAAATGTGCGTATAATGATGAGAAAAGTGTCGATCCCATAGAGACTAGATCACAGTACCAAATCAATTTTAAACCAACCTAAGTTGAGCTCGTGAATCAATTGAATGAGTAAAAACTAAAATAATTAATGCAAATCCAAGAACTTAATAAAAACTGAATTGATGGATGAATGCAGCTAGGGTTTAGATTTCATTAAATGAAGGTTACATAATTACCTATTTAATCCAACTCAAGACCAAAATTACCCTAAGGTATATTAAAGTTATTTGCATGTGATGGTGGATTTCCCTAAATTAATTAATAAGCTTTCTCGAGTCATATTTATCCTTTATTAATCCAATTCTACCATCAAATTTCTAAGTGGTTGTCAAAAGGAAAAATAAGCATTAATTTCTTTGGAAACCTCTAATCATAGAAGGGGATTTGACTCACTAAGCTTCCTTGATTCCCACACATGAGCTAATCATCTTTCGATATCATAGTCTATCATGCGATCTTTATTGCCTAGGGATCTAATTCATAACAATCCTTTGGTCAATCATGCATGAATCGTCAAATCATTAAAAGATTGGCCAATTCTTTTAAAGCATTAAGCATAGCAATAAAAATTCCTCATTTAAGTAATAAAGGTCTTGAATTGAATTAAACAAATAATTATATAATCTTAAGATCAAAATCCATCTAAACCCTACCTAAGAGAATTTAGCTAGACATCGTTAAATTCAACATACTCAAGAAAATTAAAGGGGAAACACAGCAAGAACACATCAAAGAATGAATAGAATAATAAGAAAACTTTAGCCTTCGAAGGTAGAAGACAAGTGCAGCAACTAAGCCTTTCTCCCTCTTGAATTCGGATTCTTCCTCTCCTTCTCTAGCGTACTGAAATTGCTTCCTCTTCTCTTCTGATGTGCTGAGACTGTTTCCTCTTCTCTTCTCTGCTGAATTCTCTCTAAGGATGTGCCCCCTTGCCTTGAGTTTATGGTCATTTTTATAGTGCAGCCTCCCCTCAATTGTTTCTCAATGCAGACTCCTAATTTAACACAAAATAGGTTTCTTATTATTTATCTCAGTTGAATTCCTATCTCTTCTGCACTGCCAACTGCCAGACCCGAAACTTGTAGCTCAAATTGCACTTGGTTGGTGGCGGAATTAGGTTGAGTGATAAACACAAGAGTTGTAGCCCTATCTCTTAGCTTTAATTATCCATTTGAATCACCTCAATCCGAGTTGTAGGCAGAAAGTTATGCCCAAAATACGGAAACTATATCAAAACAGGAAATTTCCCAATTTTTGTGCATACATATCAAATCCGATTTCAATGGATTCTCTCCTTCATGGCTACATCATGGAGCATCATTGCTGCATGGTTCTTCCTCTATGATTATCTTGATCAATTAAATCAAACTCCTCCTTAAAATTGCACAATTAAGCTCCAAATCATCTTGCAAGACAATTTCGTCATAATTAGTGCAATACCATGCTAATTCCAAAAACATTATTACCAAAATCATCAAGTTAGAGGTATGAAAATATGTACAACTATAGGCTTATCAATTATCGAACCCTCTTCTTCTTCTTCTCCATCCCTTTCTTCTATTCTGCTGTTTTCTTCTTCCTTTCTCACTTTTTTACTCCTTTAATCAAGTTTCTTATCAGATTTAGAAGCCAGTTTTACTTCTTATGTTGTAGACTTGTGGCATCTATCTGATTTTCTCATGTCATCGGATTACATCAGGACCATGGCAAAATTCATGAGACTGCATTTTAATTAAATACTGGACCTGTTGAATTTTGTTAAAATTCAGGGAAAAACTTAAAAGACAAAAGGTACATGTTATGATAGAGAAAGGAGGATTTGATAAACGAGGGTAGAGAATTTATGCTCAAGGGTAAAACTAATATTCTGAGGTTGAGCTTCCTTATTTTAAAGGATTTTAGAAATCTGCTCCTTTTGTCCAGCTAGGAGCAAGCAAAGGGCATCAACGTGAACAGAATAGTGCCTTTTTTTCTATTTTTTTTCTTTATTGATAAGATAGTGTACCTTTTGTACTGAATGCTTGAGTTGGTTGACAGGAAACCATTTATTATTTCCAAGAGTGATCATTGAAAGATCCATTCTAACTAAATAGGCAAAAGAAACATTTAACATTGCATGTCCATTTTGCATATTACTTGTTTTCTTTACAGATGTGTGTGGGTTAATGACCTCTTTTTAGATATTGTCTCATCATCATCGTTGTTGTCGTTATCATTATCTTCATCATCATCATCATCATCTAAGTCTTGTCCCCAACCATATGGGATTGGCTACATGAATCCTGTTTCACCATTCTGTTCTGTTCAGTGCTTCTAGATATTGTCTGATCCACCTTCAAAAACTTATCTAGAAAGGCTGTCCATATAAACAAAGTGAAACTTACAAGGATTTGAGTATTCCAAGCAAACTTGACTGAAAAGGAACATTGCTGTCAAGGCATCTAGATTTGTAGCATTCAGCATATTGATTTTTTGAAGATAAAAAGTATCACAAACATTGAATTGTTAGTTCAAGGGTTTCCAGAATATGGATTTTGCTTACAATAAGCATAATCTATGATGAATGGGGGAAATACTACTGGGAAACACTAGAAATGAGTGCTTTTGTGGTCATTGGAACTTGAGGGTAGACCAAAGATTTCATTAGTAACAGATGTAGGAAAGTAACAGATTATTTGATTATGCATTGGAGACAAATGATTTCATTAGTAGGAATGGTTTTTTTTTTGTCCCAAATTGAATTACTATAGAGCAAGAAGAAGGCCCATATGGAATGTGAATGGAAGTGGTTAGAAGAGAGTTGAGGGCCTATACCAGAAGATATGGCCCTAGACAGGGCAGAATATGGAGCTAAAATTTTCTATTCAATCCAAGCAATCAGAATAAGACTTGGTTAACTTTATTGATTTCTTGGAAATTTAACATGTTTGATGACAATGTTATGGAATTTGCAAATACTAATTCCTTTTTTCCTGGGATGCAGGCTAGACTTGAAGCTGCAAGAAAGAGAACTGAAGAAATGCAGAAAGCAGCTTTAGAAGCTGAGAGAAGGGCAGTCAAAGAAGCTGCAGAAAGGAGGGCTACTGAAACTGCAAAACCTGATTCTGCTGCAGTAACAGAAAAGGAAGGTATTCACCACAAGATGGATGCAAATGCAGAAGCAGTAAAAGAAGAAACAGAAAAAGGGTCCAGTAAAGCGCATTCAGCAGCAGGTATTGCAGTTTTTGAAAGGCTATAATAAGAAATATTCTATTGGTTCATCCTGAAGTTTGGTGTCTCTTTATGAATCTGATTTTTCTTTACTCATTCATGGTTGTGAGCAAAGGATTGAATCATACAATCCTTAGAAGCAGGATTCAAATCGTGAATTGTAAGACATTGTTTGTTCATTCAATTAATTCTGAAAATATTGAAGATCAGAACATTTTGAAAAAAAAAAAAACAGAACAGCCATTCCCCTTAGAATCTAACCATTATCATGGAAAATACAAATTTGGTTCCTGGCATCTCCGAGCATGACTTCTTGGAGTTTCATACTTGTCAAGTTGCATCGGCACATTTCCTTGTGTTTAGTCAATTTTTTGTATGAATTCTATTGTCATTTGAAGTTGCATGTCCCCAATGTGATGACAGGTAGCTTACTTAAGGTTGCAGAAAGTGCACTTAGACAAGAGGAAGAAAGGTTACGGAGGTACAATGAATTAGTTGAACAAAACCAGAGATTGAAATCAGCTTCCAATAAGGTAACCTCAATACTGTTATTGTTATTTTTGCCTAATTTTCAGATAGTTTACAATGTCCTGTTATCAAATTCCAATAGTTTAATCCAAGTAAAATGTTGCTATGCAACAGACACATGTCTTGCTCTTTGTAACAGCAATATAATACTGTAATAGTCATGGAATAATCAAGAGAAGAAGAAAAGAGAAGAACGTAATAGGAGAAAACTGAATGGGTCAGTGGTGGCACCTCCATCACCTTAATATATTAACAAAAATAATAATTGCACAGTGGTCCCATGAAAGAAGGAAAAGTTATAGAAAACCTCCTAGCGCTAGAAACATATAAAAAATCATCCCAGACAACACTCCACTTCAAGTTGGGCTGTAGATATCATGCATAGCCAACTTGATACATAACTCTTCATGGTGCAGGGAATTCAATCGTTTTGTAAATACATCAGCTACTTGTTCTCTTGATTCAACAAAAGGTATACAATTTGCACCCCTATCCACTCTTTCACGAATAAAATGTTTGTTAATTTCAATGTGCACGTCCACTCATGGAGAACCGGGTTATGAGCAATATTGGTAGCAGCCTTGTTATCACAGTACAATGACATAGGATCTGACTTCCACATACCCATCTTAGTAAGAAGATTTTTTAACCATGACAATTCAGCAACACCTTGAGACATAGCTAATATACTCAACTTCTGCACTTGACTTTGCCACTACAAACTGTTCCTTACTCCAAGTGACTAGATTTCCTCTTACAAATGTATAGTAACCATTAGTGGACCTCCTATCATCAATAGAGCATAGTTTTCAAGGCGCCAAAGCGAGGCTAGGCGATAGGGGGGCGCCTTGTCGCCTAGTCGCCCAGGCTTCACCTAGGCGATGGATTGTTTTATGTAAAAATCACATATCCTAGGGTAGTTCCGTAGGTTCCATAACCAACTTTCTTTAATAACTATCCATAATTTTCTTAAGCTTCATGTTTTAAGTCTAGAAAATCAACGTATTTATGAGAAGAAAAAGAAGAAAGGAAAGAAAATTCAAAAAATATAGGGGCTGAACCCCTATTTTTGTTATAGGAAAAGAAGAAAAGAAAAAGGTGGAAGAAGAAATATGTTGATTAAACAAAATTTTAAGTTCTTCCCTTACTTGTTGGTTCAGATTTTGAAGTCATTGAGGGTTCAATACAACAGTTAGCAATGTTTGTGTTGATTAAACCCTAACAAATAAGAAAATAATAAAAAGAAATTAGTTTATAAACACAAAAAATGAATATTTTTCTTTAATAATGTCTATTTTATAATTATGATCTAAAAAAAATAACAATATTAAAGTATTTTATTACACAGTATGAAAAACTGCTTGGCGACTGGGCGAGGCGAGCCTCCAAGGGCACCTTGTCGCCTAGGCGTCACCTTGACAACTATGCAGTAGAGTGTCAGCCTAGTCAGCATCAGTGTTGCCTTCCACCTTCATATGACCATGCTTGGTAGAGAGGAGATCTCAACCTAGCTATCTTTTTAAATAGGCCAGAACTTTCTCGAGTCTCGGCAGCCTTGAAGTGAGTGCATGTACTGACTCAATACACTCATAGCAAAAGCAATATTTGGTCTAGTCATGGAAAGACATAACGGCCTTCCAACGAGTCTCTAATATTGATGAACATTTGAAACAATCTTCCCCTCACAACTTCCAAGTTTATGACTTGGATCCATGAGAGAATCAACTAGTCTACACCCTAATTTTCTAGTGTCCTTCAATAGATTTTTTTTTTATCAATAACAGAATTTCATTAGAAATATTAAAAATTACAAGATAGGAAGAGGTAAACTATCTTAACTCTCCACAGACAAAAAACTATTACAATTGAGCCCAAAACAACCGGTTCCTCCCCACTCCTTGTTTTGCTAATACATCAGCAAGACCATTTGCTGCCCTTTTAACTCAACTGAACTATACTTCCATATCTTGAATAATCCATTTGAATCTCTCTTTTTTTTTTCATTATTGAAAATCCAAAATCCTTTATCTTCCTTATGCAACCACTCTAATATCAACTTTGAATCACCTTCTACAATCAGCTTCTCACATTCAGATCTTTTGCCTTTTGAAATCCTTCCATAACTGCCATAACCTCAGCCCTTAGGGAGCCACCTATTCCATTCGAGCCTGGGTATAGACCAATGATCTTGCCTTCACTGTCCCTAAACACCCCTCCAATACTAGATGGGCCTGGATTCCCAACACTACTCCCATCAAAGTTCAACTTAATGTAGTCAACCATTGGAGGAGACCAAGCATGGCTTATATTAGAATTGTGGCAATCAGAGCTAGCCACTTCCTTCCATTTGTTCATGATATGTCCTATTGAGAAATCAACAAATATCTTCATAGATTTTACCCAATGAACCACTCTTGCCATTATGATTTCAATGACGGCTTCTCTACTTATTTCCTTGTCTAGGAATAATCTTGCATTTCTTTCTTCACACAAAGTCCAGCTCACAACTGCCCTTACACATCTCCATAATACTTGTCCTGTTTTCTTTGGCCATCTCAAGAAAGTAGAAGCAAATAAAATTTGCACATTAGCCAGGGGAGATCACCTGCACCCAAACAATGAGAAAAACCATTCCCAAACAAAGGTTGCAAAAGGGCAGCAAATTAAGAAATGAAATCAAGTTTCTCCATTAGCCTTACACAAAAGACACCAGTGTGGGGATAAACACCAATTAGTCCTTTTTCTTTGGAGCAAGTCGCAAGTATTAATTGTTTCAACGATATACTTCCGTTGGGAGATAAAGATACCTTTGTCAGATCGAGCAACTTCAATCCCAAGAAAATATTTCAAAGGACTGAGATCTTTAACATCAAACTGTGAAGCTAGGAATTTCTTCCCCCAGTTTTCTGTAATTACAATATCGTCCACATACACAATTAGAACAACAAACAGCTCACCTTTTTCTTTTCACAAACAATGTATGATCAGCCTGGCACTACACAAAGATAACTTGTTGGACAACACTATTTACCTCTCAAAACATGCCCGAGGGGATTGTTTCAGGTCATATAAGGACTTTTCCAACTGACAAACCTTATCCTCATTGTCCTGCATCTAAAACTTGGGAGTTTGAACCATATATACCTCCTCATTGAGGTCACCATTCAAAAATACCTATTTTGCATCCAATTGATGAAGATGCCTGGAAAAATTAAGAGCAAGAAATATGAGTACCTGGATATAGTTCATCTTCGCGATAGGAGCAAAAGTTTCATTATAATCCACACCATGTGTTTGAGAGAACCCCTTTGCAACTAGTCTTGCCTTATACCTCTCAATAGACCCATTAGCATGACGTTTTACTATAAACACCCACTTATAACCTATAGACTTCTTTCATTTTGAAGATCAACTAGGTCCCACATGTGATTTTTATGAAGGGCAAAATTTCCTTGCACACAACATTTTTCCATTTAAATAATTCCAAAGCCTTTGCCACACATTTTGGGATAGACACGCTACAAATAGTAGAAGTAAAGACATGATAATTAGGAGACAAATGAATAATGGAAGAAAAAACGGGCAATAGAGTGCTTGGTACACATCCACACACCCTTAAAAAGAGTAATGGGAAGTTGAATCACAGGAAGACAGTTTAGAGGTACCTGAAAGATGACTATCGCGGGGATTTGCCTCATGAGATTCTAACAACAATTGCTGCAGTTTAGCTGGAGCCACGCCTATATTCAATGGTTGTTTTGACAACAGACCTTTATTGTTGACAAGTATAACGGGAAAAAGTACGACAAAGAGGCAAATGTGGCTAAGGTGGAGGCAGAGAGTACTGCTGTCAAGACAGTTGAGATCGGGGCTGAGAAGTAATGACAGGAGAAGGAAAGGAAAGAATATGTTTCACCTCACCACTACTCTCCACCTTAGGTGAGGCACTAAAGAAAGGATGTGACTCAAAAAATGGAACATCCATGGAGATGTAATCTTTGTGAGACATGGGGTCAAAACACTTATATCCATGGTTTTCAAAACCGGACTAGGCTGAACGGTTAGACCGAAAAATGGGGATCCGGTCAGGTAACCGGTTTCATTTCACCCTAAAACCGCTTTTGTCCAAAAACCGTTGATTTGGTCAGCGACCCACTGACTCGAGTGGTTGAACCATCGAACGTTGGCTCAGATAATTGTTTTTGGTCAGACCATTTGACCTGGGAACCGGTTCCTTGTTCAGTCCGGTTTTGAAAACCTTGCTTATATCCCTTGTTGGTGGAAGGATAACCAAGAAACACACAAGGAATGGCACAAGGAGTCCAACTTACCGGACACGGGAGAAAGGTTTTGGACAAAACGTTAATAACCAAACACCTGGAGAAGAATAGAAAACAAAGGGGATGAAGGGAAAAGCAATTGATGCGGGGCCCGAGAGTGCAACAACCTTGAGGGCATGCAATTAATCAAGTTGGTTGCCGTGAGAACTGCATCACCCCAAAATCGTTTTAGAACATTCATCTGGAGAAGCAAACTACGAGCCACTTCCATTAAATGTCGACTGTTTCTCTCAACAACAACATTTTGTTGTGGAGTTTTAGGGCAAGAGCCCTAGTGTAATATACCATTATCTTGAAGATAGGCATTGAGATCTTTAGTAAAGTACCCTTTGGCATTATTTGAGTGAATAATTTGAGTATCGACCTAGAACTGGGTATACACTATACAATGAAAATTCTTTACAATTTCAGGAACTTCGTCACGAGATTGTAACAGATATATCCTTGTGCAACGTGAGTAATCATCAGTAAAACTAATACAATATCGATATCCACCTTCAGCCATAATTGAGCAAGGGCCCCATACATTAGAATGCACAATATTGAAAGGAAAATCAACTCTTTTATTAATAGGAGGGTATGGGCTTGTACAATGTTTGCTTAATTGACAAGTAGAGCATTCCAATGATGCAAAGGACACGGACTTGAACAAGTTTTGAAATAAT